GGTTAAATTGCTGCCATGTATACATGCAATTAAGTAAATTGGGTTTGGATGGTTCCTAGGAAGCGTATAAGTAAAGGAAGTGCACTAGGGTGACGTGTCGGACGAGATAACCGATGATCGGCACGTAGTATTAGCTATTTGCATACCCGAATTAATAGCGATATAGTGTCTCGCTATTGTGAGGTGAGTAGGGGGTGTCCATTTTCAAAATTCCCATAACTATGTAAATATATATATAAATATGTGTTGATTTATTTTAATGAAAAATTGTGGAAAGCATGAGTTGGTAGAAATGTTAGGACATTATGGATGTTATGAATTTGAAAATGACTTTGAATATATATATAAATATATATATATACATGTAAAGGTTCTTGAAATTGGGAAACAAGTTTTTAATATGAATTATGTCAAGTATGTGTCTTATAATTTGTGTGATGTACATTCATGATTGAAACACATATCCACCATGCTAAATGATTTTTCAACCGCATGCAAAGAGTTATATTTTAAAGTCTTATAAGGAATCTCATCATGTTACTATGTGAATATTTTGCGCAATGATTTTGAAATAAACTTTTGAGAACCCAACTACATTTTAAAATAGTTTTATCAAATCGGGGGATTCGAGAGTAGGTCGATTCTCACTTCAGTTAAGTGTGACCCTCATGCACAAGTGAGCTCTATCTAGAGAACCTTTGGATCGCCGATGAGCTGTTAAACATGGCTGGGGCCAGGGTCTATGATTTTACATGGCTAGGCCACAAGTTGTGATACTCAATTGCGATCGCCTGATTTCTCCGATGTCGGTCAACATTGTTGAGATTGCCATGGCATGTGGGGATCCGGTGGAGCGAAGCTCCCGGATGATTTTACGTAGAAGCATGTCCATGTGCTCTTTACTTCTACACCTACTCAAGAGTGATATCTCTTTGGGTTTTTTTTTACGTAAGTAATTTTTGCATGGTGAAAAATAATAGTTTTTTCGCTACTTATTTACTTATACAATAAAATTTGATTTAATTCCTCATGTATGAGGTGAATTATGAATTTGCTCACAAGCTTTGTAAAATGTTGGGTTTTACGGGAGCATGCATGATGACATTAAATTACTTTAAACCAGATGTTAAGTGATTTCAATGGTAGGAATCTTTCCATGACTTGGGTTGATATTTGATTTAAATGATTATTTAGCATAAACTTACTTATATTTTCATATAAGGCACAAACCTCCCTTTTCAAGTAAATTGTTTACATATATTTTTATATTTCTAGTATTCAAATCTTCTGCTTTTAGCTTATTTTCCATCTACGCCCTACTCACGGAGTTGATGATGATTGAGTCAGTGAGACTCACCTCCCTTATTTTCTTTTGTAGATAAGTAATCAGTTCTAGTGCATTGTTTAGTACCTCGAGACTGGCTACAACCTAGGTAATGGCATCTCATAGACTTTCACTTCGAGTCACTCCGCTGCCTAGAGGTCGTGTTGTATCAAATAGTCAAGCTTATGATGATTAATAGTTTATTGGAAATGTATTTGCAAAAACTTAGGGTTTGTAATGATTACTACATATTATGCTTGAATTGTATGAAATTATCAAACCTAGTTATTAATAACTAGATGCCACATTGTATATATTGTGCTTATTTGGTTTAAATGAATTATGGTGTTAAAATTGTAAGTTGAGTATAAATTGCTTACAGGTTTAACTAAGGCTTGTTTGAGATTTGGCGGGTTCACTCGCAAGTCTCAGACGCCGGTAGAGATCAAGGGAAGAGGTCGTTACACATTGATTGATGTGCTGCCCATAATCGAGTATAATTATTTGTGTTGTGTTTGAATGGTTGCTAGGAAGTTATGTAGGTGAAGAAGATTTGTCGCGATAGTGTGCCGGATGAGGAAATGGGTGACCGACAAGTAGAATTTGCTAGATACGTATCCGAGTCAATAGTGATGAAGTATCTCGTTATTGTATGGTGAGTAGGGGGTGTCCATTTTAAAATCTCCTTAATTATATATATACGTGTTGGTTTATTTTTTGCCCAAAATTGTGGAAAGTATAAGCTGGTAGAAATGCTAGGGGATTGTGAATGCTTTTATGTTTGAAAGTGTTTTGACTATATATATGTATAAATTATATACGTAAAGGATTTTAAATTAGGAAATAAGACTTTCAACACAATTTATGCCAAAAAGTGCCTTACTATTTGTGTGATGTGCATTCATGAACTAAATCACAAATTCACCATGCTGATTTGATATTAAAACCTCACGTAAAGGTTTATAACGTAAAGCCTTACAAAAAAAGGGGTTTTATTATGTAACTATAATCATACTTTGAAAATGGTTTGGAAATAAGCTTTTGAGAACCCAACTTGAGTTTAAATGGTTTTATCAAACCGAGAGATTCGAGAGTAGGTCGACTGTCACTTCGATTAACTGTAAACCTTGTGCACAAGTGAGCTCTAACTAGAGAACCTTTAGGTAGCCAACGGGCTATTAGACATGGCTAGGGCCATGGTTTGTCATATACATGGCAAGGCCACGGGTTGTTACATGTGGTTAGGACACAAGTGATATTCACTGTTGTGATCGCTTGATTCTCCGATGTTGGCCAGCATCGTCAAGATTGCCATGGCATGTGGGAATCCAGTGGAATGGTGTTCCCAAATTGTTATTATGTGGAAGTGGATCCGTGGGTTGATATTTACGATTTCCTACTCGAGAGTGATATCTTTTTGGGTTTTCGAACATGACTTTTTTCGCATGGTGAGAAATACTAGTTTTTTCGTAGCTCCCCTATTTGATTAAAAGCTTTCAGTGCCTTATATATTGATCATGAACTAATGACATTGTGTTTAATACCTCAGTGACGAGATGATTTATGAGCTTGTGTAAAAGCTTTGACAATATTTGATTTTCACAAGAACATGCATGAATATACTGAATTGATTTTAGTAAAGATGTTAACTGATTTAGATAGTAGAGATCTTTTACTTACACTGGTTGACTATATTCCTTGAAATGATTACTTTACATCACAGCTTTCAGGTTTAAATGTCAAGCACAAATATCCTATTTGATTATAAGTGGTTTATATATATTCATAAGTTTTAATATTCAAAACTTTTGCTCTTAGCTTGTTTCCTATTTATGTCTTACTCACAGAGCCAATGATCACTAAGTTTATGAGACTCACCCCTTTATTTCCCTTTTGCAAATAGTGATCGACTTAGCGTGCAATCATATGTGCTTATGGTCCACTGCGGATAGGTAAAGGCATCTTATAGCACTTTATTCCGAGTCACTCCGTTGCTAGAGGTCGAGTCATTCATAGCTTGAAGTATGTAGTTAGATACTACAGACTTTGATGTAATCTTACAATTATGGTGAATAAAGGATAAGTTGGTTTATTATGATTTATGTACAATTCTTATTAAAAAGAGGTATATGGTTCAAGAAATTTCATGGATTGATGACATAATGTCTAAAGTTTCAAATACGACTTGTTTAGGATTTGGCAGGTTCACTCGCAAGTCTTGGACGCTAGTAACAATCGAGGTAAGAGGTTGTTACAATTCAAGCATGAGTACAACTCTATTTTTGAACAAAGGAACATGCTTCAAATTAAACTAGCACAATTCAAAACTGATTCTGAATTCTTGACTCTTGAATTGGAAAGAAAATGTTTAGAATTACAAAAAGTTGTTGATGAAAATGCTGCACTTAAGTTGATTGAACAAAAAGACTAAAATTTTAATCAAAAGATGAAAAAGAGTTTCAAAGAAAAACAAGACATAGAAGGAAAATTAATGTTGTCTTATGTCATTGTTATGTGTGTTGTAGGAAAAGTCATTTGTCTTATGAATGTTTTCATTCTAATAGAATTTTTCCTAGAACGAAATTGGTTTGGGTTCCAAAAGGATCCCATGTGATTGTTATCCCTCAAGGACCCATCAAAGTATGAGTACCTTTAAAGAAAAACTAAAAATCTGTTGTGTAGGTTAAGCGAGGACTAAAGGATCAATTTTTTGAAGATCAACCAAAGAAAAGGCAACCTTGGTACTTGGGTAGTGGTTACTCGAGACACAAGATCGGTAATGAAAACTTATTTGCTAAGCTTGATAGGAAGAATTGTGGTAGTGTTTCCTTTGGTGATGACTTCAAGGATATTATCTAAGGAATCGAAACCACAGATACCAAACATAAATCAAGCATGTCTTATTTGTTAAAGGTTTAAAACATAATTGGCTAAGCATTAGTCAGCTTTGTGATAGCGGTTTAGAGTATGCTTTGATTCCCATGCATGTCAAGTAATTGATGTTAACATTAACAAAGTAGCAATTATTAGCAAAAGAATTAAAAATATGTATGTCATTTTTCTTGATGAAATTAAGACATGTGATTCATGCTTGATTGCCAATGATGTGTGTAATAATTGGTTGTGGCATAAAAGGTTGGGAAATGCTAGTATGCACACAATTTCAAAACTTTTGAGATAAGACTTAGTCATTGGACTTACAAAGATATCATTTGAAAATGACAAAGTTTGTGGTGAATGTCAATTTTGTAAAGAAGTTAGAAGTTTTTTTAAATCTAAGAAAGTTATATCAACTTTTAGGCCACTTCAACTATTACATGTTGACTTGTTTGGACCAATCATTGTTACTAGTCTAAGAGGCAAGTCATATGGCTTTGTTATTGTTGATGATTACTCTAGATAAAATGGGTATATTTTCTTACTCATAAAGATGATGCATTGTCAATTTTTATTAAGCATTGTAAAAGAGTTCAAAATGAAAAAGGCCTCACCATTGTTAATGTTAAGAGTGATCATGGTGGTGAATTTAAAAGTGATAATTTTGAAATTTTTTGTAATAAAAATGATATTGATAGCAATTTTTCTACTCCTAAAACTCCACAACAAAATGGAGTTGCTGAAAAAAAATATATAACCTTGAAAGAAATGGCAAGGATAATGCTTTGTGAAAATAACTTGCCAAAATACTTTTGGGCTAAAGCAGTGAATACTACAATTTACATTTTGAGCAAAGTTTCCATTAGAGCCATGATTTCTAAAACCCCTATAAGCTTTACAAAGGAAGAAAACCAAATATATCTTATCTAAGGAATTTTGGATGTGAATGTTTTATCTTAAATAATGGAAAACACACCTTGGGAAAGTTTAATGCTAAGAGTGATGAGGTAATTTTCTTAAGCTATGCATTAAATTCTAAACCATATAGAGTGTTTAAGAAAAGAACTATAGTTATAGAATAGTCAATCCATATTGTTTTTTATGAGACTAATGATGCATAAAGAAAGGTAATGCTTGATGATTATGATGATGCAGATGACATTGAGAAGAAAATGGAGAAAATGAGCTTGGACAACAAAAAAAATGATAGAAAAAGCTCGAAAGAGAAAGATGATAATAAACCACCACTAGAAGACTTACAAAGAACTGAAGAACAGCACAATGATCTTCTTAGAAATTGGAGACTCGTACAGAATCATCCTCAAGAACTCACCATTGGTGATCCTTCAGTTGGTGCCAAAACTAGAATATGGTTTAGGGAAGCTTGTGAGTTTCTAGCTTTCATATCACAAGTGGAACCAAAGAGCTTTGAGGAAGCTGAAAAAGAAGAGAGTTGGATTATTGCTCTACAAGAAAAGTTGAGTCAATTTGAAAGGAACAAGGTTTAGACCTTAGTTCCAAGGCCAACCAACCATTCAATTGTCAATACAAAATGGGTGTTTAAGAACAAGATGGATGAGTTGGGAACTATGGTAAAAAATAAGGCAAGGTTAGTTACCCAAGGCTATAATCAAGAAGAAGGTATTGATTATGATGAAACCTTTACTCATGTAGCTAAATTAGAAGCTATTAGACTCTTACTTACTTATGCATGCTTTATGAACTTTAAATTATTTCAAATGGATGTTCAAAGTGTATTTCTTAATGGCTTTATACAAGAAAAGGTATATGTTGAACAGCCCCATGGTTTTGAAGTGTTTGATAATATTGATTATGCATATAAACTGCATAAAGTTCTTTATGGATTGAAACAAGGTCCTAGAGCCTAGTATGAAAGACTTTTAAAATTTTTAATTGAAAAAGAATACCCTAGGGGAAGTGCGGATAATACATTGTTTATTAATAAAAATGAGAATGATTTAATTGTTGTTCAAATATATGTTGATGATATAGTATTCCCTGCTACAAAAGAAAGGTTATGTGAGAAGTTTGCTAAGGAAATGCAAGGAGAATTTGAAATAAGCATGATGGGAGAACTAAAGTTCTTCCTTTGTCCACAAATCAAGCAATGTGAGGATGGAATATTCATCAACCAAGAAAAGTATAGCAAAGAATTGCTGAAAAAGTTTGATGGGATGAATATGAAGTCAATTGGAACCCCCACGAGTCCCTCCACAAAGCTTGACAAAGATGATAAAGGGAAAGATGTGGACCAAAAGCACTATAGAGGTATGATCAGTTCACTTCTTTATTTTACAGCAAGTAAACCTAATATCTTATTTAGTGTATGCCTATGTGCGAGATTCCAATCATGTCCCAAGGAATCACATTTGACTGATGAGAAAAGAATTTTTAGATATCTCTCGGATGCTCAAAGCTTAGGCTTATGGTATACAAAAGGTTCATCTTTTAATCTTTTTGATTACTTTTGATGTTAGTTATATTAGTAGCAAAACTGATCGGAAGAGCATGAATGGCACTTGTCAATTCTTTGAAAACATGCTTATGTCTTGGTCTTGCAAGAAACAAAATTCTGTTGCTTTATCAATTGCTGAAGCTGAGTATATATCACTAGTAATTGTTGTGCACAAATTTCATTGAATAGGCAGCAACTAAATGATTTTGGAATGGCTATACATAAAATTCCCATTTATTATGATAATATGAGTGCCATAAATATCTCCAAAAATCTTGTTCAACACTCTAGAACCAAGCACATTGAAATTAGATATTATTACATTAGAGACCATGTGCTTAAGGGAGATATTGAAATAGATTTAGTAGATACCTTGCATCAATTGGCTAAAATTTTACAAAACCATTGAATGAAGAACAATTTTGTAGAATTAGAAGAGATTTAAAGATGATTGATGCTATGGAGATCTGAATTATGATGAAATGATAATGCTTTTGATGATATATATATTGCCTGATGAGTGTGTCTATTGCTTGGTGTAATTGATTAGTGAATATTCTAGGTTAGCTAAAGGACCTTACATGGAAAATAGGATTCATTCTAATCAGTTAAGAACTTCCTTAATCAATTAAAACAATTCTGTGTTATAGGAGTTAACCTGAGTCAGTGAGGTAATAAGTAGTTAACAACTCCCTTAACTGATTAATGCAAGTCTGGTAGTTAAAAGGCCTCCAAGTCAAAACCATAATAATTGATTAAGGCCTCCTTTAATTGATTAAAGAATAACTATGAAAGAGACATGTTTTCGTGAGGGAATTTTTCGAAATATAAAAAAACTTGGCAAGTGGTACGGGATAGCTCCCACTCAAAACACGGGTAATCGGTTATAACTCCCCTTAAAAGACCCCCCATCTACTTAAAGAGTTAGTTACATTGAAAATCAATATCCAAAAGGCTTTAGATTTTCCTCTCCATATTTTCTCTTAAAACTCGAGAAACCCTAAAAAAAAAATTCTTATGGCAAAAACTTCCTTCACTCACAAGGTAGCAGAAAAGGGGAAATGAAAAAGGAAAATTGATGATTCTTCACTACATTCCTTCAAAAAAAAAAGAAAATGAAAAGACTTTTAACAAAGAAGAAAAAAGGAAGCAAAATGAAATTAATAGAGAAAGGAAAGGGATCGATAGATGGAAGACCCTTTGTAGAGAAAGGTATTGGTTCCTCCACTCGTTTTCAAAATGACTTGCATGCTATTAAATTTGGAAGGATTGAAAATGCCATAATCTGTTATGGGAAATTCTTTGATTGGGAAAGTTTTAATGATTGATTATGAGTAAAAGAAGATCTTGAGGGATATTTTGAACTTCTGAAATTAAGATTTATGAGTACATTTAGAGATAGAGTATATAGTCCAACTCGAATTAAGAAGCTATACTCTAGAATAGCTATTGACAAAACTGAATTGGAAGAAGAAGATTTTGTAAAAGATAGATTAAATGTGTTCTTAGATGGTTAGTGCTCAGGATCTAAGAGAATTCCTTTAGATTGAATTTGAAGGAAAAGAATACAAAATGCTAGAGAAATATGAGTTAAACCATTTGTGGGAAGTTATCACTGGAAAGAGGGAGAAGTTTCCCTTTAGAAGCTATGCTAGTGAGATATCAAATGCCCAGCTAATAATTCTTCATTTTTTCATAACAACTACTAACCAGGGAAGAAGTAGTAGCTTTAGTTATGTGAGCGCACAAGATTTATGGCTAATGGAGGTTGTCTTCTATGAAATCTCACTAAATGTGGGAAGATATATGGTGGAAAGAATCAGAACAACCACACTAGCAGACAAAGCAAATTTGTCGTATGGTAATATCTTTATAGCCTTAGTGAAAAAAAAGAGAATTTAAAGTGGAAGATTTCAGTTTGATCTCATAAAGAACAAGGATCAAGGAATATTCTTGTGCAGTGTACTGCAAATGGGGTACAAGATAAAGAGGAATGAATGTATTAAGATCACAAAAGGTACACCTCTATCCTTTTCAATTGGTAGTCCTCTAACACCCTGCACCAAAGCCAGTCAACCTCCTCTTCAAAGTGACATGGTGTTTAATCTTTTGATGAGAATTGATGGAAAGTTGACTAATCACATTGAGAAGATGGTAAATATTGAAGAAAAACTTCAATAGCTTGAAGCTATGGTAAACCCAACTAAAGAAACCCAAGTTCTCAAAGCCCCTTTCTCTATTGCAAGTCAATCAAGTGAGAGGATTGCTATAGAACAATTTAAAAGTGCTACTTCTGGTCATGACAAGGATATTAAAAATGAAATATTTGAAATCCAGAAGTGACTCAAGCTGGAATTTAGGAATTTGAAAAGACGAATGTTGAACAAGAAGAATAAGAAAAAGAACACACTACAGAAGAGAATGAGAAAAAGAAAGAAAATGAAAAAAAAAAGAACCCGAAGTTGAAAAAGAACATTCAAAAGCTGAAAAGAGTGTTGTGAGCTCCTTTGCAGAATCTAAAATGA